AATTTATCAGACCTACAAATTCAAATTTTTGAATTTGTAAGTCTGATAAATTGGATCGTATTTACGAATCCAATGGAATAAATTATGACCATGGAATATTAGTATTTAAGCCTTTTATTATATCCTGTCCCGGACATTGAGTTCTACCTGGATTCTATATATTTTTTTTATATATGTATGTGTATGTATATATATATATATATATTTTAGATATATGATTGCATATGTATGTGTATATTTACCACTAATATTATATATATATATATATATATATATATATATATATATATATATATATATATAGGGTGTGTCAAAATTATGTCAGCATTAGTATGAGAGGAATCATTTATTCCAAATTTACAGAAGTTTCTCCGCCTGTCGACCAACACGATAGATGCACAAAACCCAGATCAACAGTACAATTTAGTGTCTTCACACAGAACTCACAGCGTGTAATTGGCCCATATTTTTTTTCCAAGTCCAACGGTAACTGCAAAAGCTTATTTACAAATGCTGCAAGAGTTTGCTATTGATGACCTTACGCCCTACAAATCAGACGGCAGGGTATTTCTAACAGGATAGGGCACCGCCTCATTTTGCCTGTACTGGTCGCGCTTGTCTCGATCAAAGTTTCCCAATTCGTTGGATAGATGGCGGCGGACCATTGGCATAGCCACCACACTTTCCCTGATCTGACACCCTGTTGTTGCAGTTTTTTGGGTATATTATGGAATCTTCTTTCAAAATATTAGTAAAGTCAATATTAATATGGAACAAATACTTTAGTATTCCGATTTTTTTTTTCTTAGCATTCATAAAATAAATTTTATTTTATTTTTTTTTATTATTTTTTTATTTTATTTTTTAAGAAAATTAATATCCACAAAAATTAGTCATATCACTTTGTCCACAGTTAAGTATTCAGGTTAATAAACGTTAACAATAATATTATAAATTTGGGTTGTGATCACAACAAAAAAAGTGGAAAAGTGGATAGCTGGGACCCATTAAAACAGTCACTATCACTCCGTGTCAGAGTGATCCTGAGAGTCACTAAAAAGTGAAAAAATTGTTATTTTACCCATAGCTAGGACCCCCATTAAATCCAGTCACTAAAAAGTGAAAAATTGTTATTTTACCCTCTGGGACCCATTAAAACATCAGTGATCCAGAGTGATCCTGAGAATCACTAAAAGTGAAAATTGTTATTTTACCCATAGTTGGGACCCATTAAACAGTCAGGATCACTCTGACCCGGAGTGATAGTGACTGTTTTAATAAATTAATATTAATACTGACTTTACTAATATTTTGAAAGAAGATTCCCTAATATACCCAAAAATGGAGGGGTGCAGTATTTTGTGTATATGTAACTGGTGAGCTAGCCCACATGACTTGACTCACTTTATAGTCCACCAATAGAATGTTAACCAGAAGACGTAGAATATTCAATCCGTCGTGTATAAAGGCGGCCATTTTATTTACCCTACCCGAATGTCCAGTTCCAGCTTGTCAGGCAAAGAGGAATAAAAGGAAGAACTACGCTCTGCTGCTTTTACCAAAATATCCACTGCTAACCTGAAATACGCTTCCCTACTGTTTTCGAAATATTCACTGCTGACCTCTGGAGTCTATACTCAAAGACGACCGTCATCATGAACAAAACCTGTGACTTCTGATTATGGGGTATGATAAAGGATCACGTGTAAAGCAAAAAAGTTAGAGACATCGAAGAATTCAGGGACTGACTAAAAGGTGTAATATCAAACATTCCCCGTGAAATGTGTTTCAATCGCTGGTTTTTGTGCATCAATCGTGCTGGTGGGCAGTTGGAGACTGTTCAGTAAACTAAAAATAAATGATTCCTCTCACGTTAATGTAAACATAATTTTCACTCACCCTGTATATATATTTCGTTAAAGTAACTTACTGCGATTAGGTCGTTTTATTTAATTTTTCTTGTGTTCGTAGAAGAGTTTTCTTTTCTGGACGCAAATTGTGTAAAAAAAAATGATCATTTCTATAACTTTTGCATATATATATATATATATATATATATATATATATATATATATATATATATATATGAAGAAAAATATATACGGAAAAACAAAACAAAAATCCTAATATACAATTATGCTGTTTTAATGTTAATATGTCAACGTCGGACGTTTCGGTCTAATAAACCATCTTCAGGACATATTCATAAATATAACATTATCAATACAACATGACAAAGACGATGTACATAAGAACAAGACTTATCCAAACAAATAACTGAAAGTTTTATAAGATCAGCGCTCCGTTTAAAACCTGGTCACGTTGTCGTCACGTGGGCGACGCTGTGAAAACGTATTCCTAAAATTTTGAGTATTTTGAATGAAAAATTAAAAGAAATCTATTTTGATCTAAAATTTATATGTACGCTTGTCGAGCATTAATCTCGCTAGAAAAGGGGAAATATTAAAGAAACCAGGTCTAGTATTCACCGTGCGTGAGATGGATATTATACCTGCTTCATAAATCCGCCTCAGATTTTTATTATGAAAATATTTTAAAATCTTCACGGAATCAAAATCGAAATTATGATCTGCTTTAGTTGTGTGTATAACTATAGCATTATTTAAAATTATGTTTACATTAGCATGAGAGGAATCATTTATTTATAGTTTACTGAACAGTCTCCAATAATATATAAAGAGAGCGAGAGAGAGAGATTCACATGTATTTGCTTTTATGTATATAATTTTTTCCTTTATGTAAAAGGTACATATAATTAAGAAAATTTTACCCAAAACAAAATAATTTCCATACCTGAAGATGACTGAATGTACAGTCGAAAGTACTTGCGTATTTAAGAAAGACCTTATACAGCTTATAATTTTAAAAACAGGGATTATAACATTCATCGAGTGATTAGTAGGTTAATGCATCGTTAAAATTTTTCTTAGCGAAGGGATTTCGCCATTTTATATCATTAACTTTTTCAATGAAGAAAAAGCATAGACATAAAAGCAAGCACATGCCTTCTTTAGAGATAAAATCTTCACACGGACATAGATATGTATAGCTGGCTACTCGTATTTGAGTGGCTATATATATATATATATATATATATATATATATATATATATATATTCGGCTCCATCGATGATAGTCGAAGATCACCCATTTTCACAAGACCGACTCTATAGTATATTAATTTCATTTACATTAATATTTTATTTTACTTTATTAATATTTAAAATTAATATTTTGTTTTATTATTATTTAAATTTGTTATTAACTTTATTATTAATATACGAAATTAAATAATAATTAAAATCTTTATACTATTTTCCTTTATATATATATATTAGGACATTTTTATGTTTATACATTCTTTTTATAGATACAAATATTTAAGTAAATGCTCTGTTTATAATAAACAACATTACCGGCCTATATATATATATATATATATATATATATATATATATGTGTGTGTGTGTGTGTGTGTGTGTGTGTGTGTGTGTGAAAATGACATATAAATCTTTTTTACCAGAACAATGTTAGAAAAATAAGTGACCATGTGGAAAAATATTGCGTGTCGCCTTTAGTTTGATGATGTCCCAAAGCACAAAACGCGTCACACGAAAAAAAAAATCCCTTTGTCATTGATATTAGTGCATGATTTCAATCTCACTTTTCTTCATAACTGAGTCAAATGTCGTTTACGAATGTCAGTTTGGCCATAAACTCAAATATTTCATTTTGGTTGTTTCTCTTTTTACGCTTCGATACGATCTTTTTCGTGTTTAATTGTTATTTTTTAGAAAACTTTTCCATGAATCTCAATGCTTTTCTATTTTCCTTCATGATAATTCCCTTATTTTTATTATTATTATTTTTTTTAATTATTCATATTTAATCCTCTGCGTGATCTCTTTCTTTGCGATTTCAACGAACACTCGTTGCCCCTTTTTTTCATGTTAACGAATACTCGTTGATCCTTTCTTAATCCTCGTTGTAGTAGACACTCTATAATCGCAGATACATCTATAGTAACGCCGTTGAACAATACTGGTGATAGACGCCTTCCAATAACACTTATATTAAAACTACTTGTTCGATTATACTAACTCCGTATAGTGATCAGTATAGAGAATTAGTATAGTGAATAGAGTAGAGAATAGCGGACCGTATAGTAATAGAGGATAGAATAGAGATAGCGATCCGAATAGTAATAGAGGATAGTATAGAAGTAGCGATCCATGTTCTGTATAGTATAGTGGATGGACTAGGAATTCAGATCTATTAGACACACGCTATTTCCCATATATACGTTCCCTCTATGGTCGCGTTGTTTTCTTATTTCAATAATGGGATCGCCTGTGTTTGTTCACTGGCGATCTATGTTCAAACCCAAGTGTCGGCAGCGACACTTTATTCCTATTTAACAGAGTCGTAATGTGATCGATTCAGTTTGTATCGCCATTTGTGCCTCGGCGTATGGATCAGTTATTTAGTATAGGAAATAAGGAAATTAACGTACTGTGACAAATATATTTAAAGTTCCTTATCTCAAAAATCAAATTAAAAAAATTCTAAACACCGTTTATTTCCACGTACCAAAATCTAGGTAAGTTTTCGTGATTTTTATATATAGCGATTTTCCAAGCGTAGCTCAGATGCGGCCCAAGGCCGATAGTATGGGGCACCCAGTGAGGATCGAACTCATATTCAGTCGTAATTGATCTAGCAAGACAAACTTGCTAACCATTACACCACTTCGAGGTGTCCAGTATTTCTAAGCATAGCTTAGATGTGGCACAAGAAAAAAATATATATATATGTATGTATGTGTGTGTGTGTGTGTGTGTGTGTGTGTGTGTGTGTGTGTGTGTGTGTGTGTGTGTGTGTGTTTACAATAATAAAATTAATTATTCATTTATATATATTTTACTTATCTTCCAGATCCGGACTTCTCCGTCAAACGGCAGAAAGAGAATTTCCCAAATATGGCATCAAGTCTTGAAACGATCTTTTGCATCTTCGCCCTCAGCAGATTCTCTCAAATTCTTGGCGCCCCTGTTACCTCCTCCGATTACAATGTTCTCATGATGCAAACACCGGTTCCTCAGTTCCTGGTTTCCAATTCCAGTAGCAGTAACCAAACTAGCAGCAGAAGTCCCACGTGTCAGCTAAAGATTCTTAATCATAAATTTCAAGAATACTTAGAAAACATTAAAGATAACGATGTAGAATTGGTTCATATATATACGTTCTTTCCAAATTACACAGTCACTCCTTTCGGGGCATATGGCGAATACTATCGACCAAGTGAATGGTACCTTAGTACTTATACGCAAGGATTAACTCTCTTAAAGTTACCATTCCAGTACGACGTCTACTCGTTCTCCATACTCAGTTTCGGAGTCGATGAAATCGGCACGGAGATTCAAGATTTCCCGCAAGGATGTCTTGGAGAACTGCCCCAGGAGGAGAGAATGTTTACAGTACGGCGTTTTATGTTTGAGATTCTTAACAATGGCAAGCCAATGCCAACGACCTCTCTTTGTAACCTCGTGGTCCGATCCGTCGACGGCGCTGCCCGCTTCATGACTCACTGTTGTAAAATAGACGCCAAAGGGAACATTGAGTGTAAAGACGATGAAGCCGGGATCTGGATCTCAATTCTCTACTGGCTCCTGTCGGGCCTGTATCTCGTGTTTTTTCTCTGCTCCCCGCTTTTTCTGCCACAGAGCATGTACAACGCTGCTTATGTCATGTCGGAATACATGGTCAAATTGAAAGATCCGGTACGAATGAAGTTATATGTGTCCGATAGTTTGGACTCTGTGGTCAAGCATCGCTGGCGATTGCTCGCTTCAGACGTCAAGACGTGGAAGAAGTTTGTGAATACTCTTCAGTTTACTCCAGTCAACGAGACTGTTCCAATCCAGGTGTCGGAACTCCAGATAAAAGTGAAAGGCAAACGGATTTTCGAAGGTAATTCTCCGCCTTCGGGCCTTCTTCAAAGTCTTTACGATAATTTCATTCGTTGTAAAGTTAAAAATATTAACCCTTTCACTGACTGTTGCGAAAGCAGTATATACGGGAAGTGCGCGGATAAGTTTATTAATTACAATATTACCTGGCATACTTGTATGAAAATATTCATTAAGGTTCTTCTTCTGATTCTGCTTCCAACGCCATTTTATATACGGGTGTTTGTTTTTTATTATTTCGAGAGCGAACGTTACAAAGAGAGGCGGATCAATGCCCTGATTAACCGGCTTGAAACGGAGTATGATTTTAAGACGGACACGTTCTTGCAATACTTGACGCCTGTGCACCCTGTGTTTATTACAGCTTATTTAATATACCTGCTGTCGGGTGTAATCATCAGTTTTTCCAATGAATCAGCTCGCGAGAAAATGAAGAACGTGATTCGCGGTTCTTTACAAAATATGCGTGAGGTTACGTACGTCAGCGGCGTTCAAATGCTGACAAGACTAGCGCTTAACCCTTTCAAAACTTTCGGCATTTTGGGTTTTTTAATTGCCCCATTTTATTGGATCCTTGTTGTGCCGTTGGGGTTAATACTCTTTCTTATCTATAGTATCCCGACTCTTTATCTTGTTATTGCTATCTGTCGGCACAGCTTTCAGCAATTCCCCATCTTTGAGAAGCCTAAATCTTTTATCCCAAAAAAGGCGTCTGCGAAGTTTAGATCTTTAACCAGCAAACTCGCCGCTAACCCTTTCGCTGTTATTGACAAACCGGAGATGCAGCCGACGACCAGAAAAGAACAAATGCTTCGAACAATATATTTAATACTGGCCATCATGTTCTGCCTGTCGGGGCTTTTCGCCTACACGTTAATACTCAGCGAATGTCTGATATTCTTCCTGAAAATCGCTGCTTTTACCATGATGGGCATTATCGTCAACGCCGGTTCGACTCTCAAATACGTCACAATGGCGATGCTGGTTCTTCTTTACATGCACGACTGCTACCAGGACGTTTACCAAAATTACGTGACCTTCACTAAAGAAATAATCGAAATCCTCACCGACAGAGCCGAAAACATCAAAGAGGTAGCCTCGTTGTCAGCCGACGAACAAAACAATGCTGCATTTCAGGTCACCCTACCCAAAACAGCGACCCCTATTCGAACAACTTTTAACAATGATAAGGGAGAACCCAGATGGAACTGCGGGCACTTATCGCTGTTTTTGGACAAATACGACACCCCTCGGCTACCGCTTCGATTGTTTCAGAGAATGTGTGAAATTCAAACCTGGGGTTCTCCGGGACTCGTTTCAATAAATCTTTTGCGGGCCACTAGGAAGTTTTTAACTATCGTCATATTCCTGGCTTTTGTGCTGGTTGTCGTTCTGGCGTTTGGTAATGTCTACCGGGTATCATCAGCTAATCAAACGCTGGCCACAATGGCCGGAGGATTCGTTCCGCTACTATTGAAAAACGTTTTCTCGTCGCGCGTCGTCAAGCTCAACTTGAAAACTCTCAGCTTCAAGGGCCAAATGGATGAAGTGCTGACCGCTTATTGCCAGAACTGGCCGATTAGTGATTTCTCTTTTATTTGGGGCGAAGAGCTGGACGAAGCCGACAAAGCGGTGGACGAGACGACAACGAGTGAAAATTCCCTCTCGAAGTCGAAGAGCGACTTAAGCACACCCGAAGATGTCGGTTTTGTCAACGGGACTCATCGTAAATTCAGCGAAATTGGTCTCTCCCTTTCGTCAGTTCAGCAGCCGGCTTCTGACGCTGAAGAAATCGTTGATATCTTTATCGACCTCACGACTGGAGTGAATGAAAATACGTGGCATGAGACTCCGCCGGATACACCTGGCGGGTCTTACACGAACCTTCACACGCTGACAAGTACACCGATGAAATTCCTGATGTTGGCTAACGCTGTCGACACTTTTGACGTGCAGATAAAATAACCGTGAGAAAGAAGGATTTCAAACAGCCTACCATATTCTCATATTGAAACATTAAAAAGTTTCAGGGGTTGGTATTTATTACTTACAAGGTTCTACAAATGAAAAGAAAAAAAAGACTATTGTATTACGACGATTTTGCGCTGTAAATAGTGTTTTAAATTAATAAAAAAAGATTATTTTTTCGTTTTGTCTCTTTCTCTGCTAATATCTCTATCTTTTATGCCATAATACAATAGAATCCCTCATATCCGAAATCCTTCATATCCGGAATCCCTCATATCCGAAATCCTTCATATCCGAAATCCCTCATATCCGAAATCCTTCATATCCGGAATCTCTCATATCCGAAATCCTTCATATCCGGAATCCCTTATATCCGGAATCCTTCATATTCGGAATCCCTCATATCCGAAATCCTTCATATCCGGAATCCCTCATATCCGGAATCCCTCATATCCGAAATCCTTCATATCCGGAATCCCTCATATCCGAAATCCTTCATATCCGGAATCCTTTATATCCGGAATCCCTCATATTCGGAATCCCTCATATCCGGAATCCTTCATATCCGGAATCCCTCATATCCAGATTCCTGCATATTTAAAATTTATTTATCTATTATTATTTATTATTAATATATTATTAATTATTTTATTTAAAATCTATCTATCTATCTATCTATCTATCTATCTATCTATCTATATATATATATATATATATATATACGCGTATACACACACACACACACAATTCGCGAAATTTAATTTAAAGTCCGCGCATTGCGCAGTAATCAAGACAGCTTCCGTGTATTATTATTCGAGACAAACGTAAGTAAACCAACCCAGGAATGGCGGCCGGGCTGTAACCTCGACGCGAATGAGGCCGTACTTATATTGTTGATAAATTCTAAATGGCTTTCTTCCACGAACTTTTATTATTTTCGAAATAAGGATGCAAATTTACACCATAATGGAAATTTTCATTACAGTTTGTTTCCGGGGCTTAATCTGACATAAAGATGTCATCAGTATACCTGGCATAAATGGTGGGTTTATTAACTTTATTGGATACAGTAGAATCCCTCATATCCGGAATCTCTCATATCCGGAGTGCCTCATATCCGGAATCTCTCATATCCGGAATCTCTCATATCCGGAGTGTCTCATATCCGGAATCCCGCATTTCCGGACCTGATTTTGATGTGTATATTTGAACTATTTGGGTGATATGTAACTGATTTGAAATTTCTGTTTATCAGGAAATTTACTTTGGATAATTTACTTATTTCACCCTATTGGCTTGTATTGGTGCAAAAGATGATGCCAATAAGAGGTTAAGAGACACATCTGCAACAAGATAGCGACGAGATGCAAGAGTTAGGACAGTTTGTTTCCGGGGCTTAATCTGTAAGTTTACAAGGTAATTAATGACTGCAGTTATAGATTTTTCAGTGCATTCACCGCTGTACTTTAGAAGGCATGAGTTAGAACTAGTAGAATTTTCATCAGGGAATGTGGTAAAATTATCTCCTGTCATAGTCAATGGGAATATCTTGAAATGGGATCTTTTTATCTTTTTATCGATATTATTTCATCAGATTCGGCAAGCTTCATTTCTCACTTTCAGAAGTGTAAGCTTCCTCCTTGTTTGCATCCTGTCCAAAACCATATCGTTGCTAACACACTCGGCCCATGATATCCTTGCCATCATTCTTGTAGAACCATACCTCCGTTTCCTCGAGTCTCTTCTTCATTTCTGAGGAGACCGACCAACGTCTGCTGCCGGGCAAATATCACGTAACAGCTCAGTACTCTTTTCTTTGTTGCCAAAGAAGTCATCTTTTTTTGCAGAGCTTTTGGAATGCGTCCTTGGCCATCCCAATACGTCTTTGGATCTCAGCTTCGCACTTATTTCATCCGTCAAACCACTTCCCACGTATTTAAACTTCCGCACCTGTAAATCGCATTTCGGGCTCATCCTTTTACTGATGACCATGCAATCTGTCTTCTTGTAGGTTAGGCTTAGTCCCTTCTTCTCGCTCTCCTTCACGACCTTCTGCAGGAAGATTTTTAATTTCTTTTCCGTGTCTGCTATCAGTCCCGTGTCATCTGCGTGTCTTATATCGTTAAGATTGAGTCACTTCTTTACCTTTGAGGAGACTTTCCATCATTCGCTGCCGTAAAGGAGGGCAGATGACACGTAACAGCTTAGTACTTTTTTTTGTTACCAATGAAATCCTCCTGTCTCGTAATAATCTACCCAGCTTTTGGAATGCGTTCTTGGCCATCCGAATATGTTCGGTCCACGATATCCTTAGGATTCTTCTGTAGAACCACATCTCTGTCGCTTCGAGTCTCTTCTTTATCTTTGAGGAAATATTCCAACATTCGCTGCCGTAAAAGAAGGACAAATGTCACGTATCAGCTCAGTATTCTTTTCTTTGTTACCAAAGAAATCCTCCTGTCTAGCAATATCCTGCTCAGCTTTTGCAATGTGTCTTTGGCCATCCCAATACGTCTTTGGATCTCAGCGTCGCACTTATTTCCTCCGTCAAACCACTTCCCACGTATTTAAACTTCCGCACCTGTAAATCGCATTTCGTGCTCATCCGTTTACTGATGACCATGCAATCTGTCTTCTTGTAGTTTAGGCTTAGTCCCTTCTTCTCGCTCTCCTTCACGACCTTCTCTAGGAGGTTTTGTAATTTCTTTTCCATGTCTGCTATCAGTCCCGTGTCATCTGCGTAGCTTATATTGTTAAGATTGAGTCACTTCTTTATCTTTGAGGGGCATCATCTGTCATCTGTCCTCTTTTACGGCAACATTTATTGCCGTAAAAGAGGACAGATGACACGTAGCAGTTCAGTACTCTTTACTTTGTTACCAATGAAACCCTCCTGTTTCGTAATACACTGCCTAGCTTTTGGAATGCGTCTTTGGCTATGATATCCTTAGCACCCTTCTGTGGCGCCATACCTCTGTTGCTTCGAGTCTCTTCTTCATCTTTGAGGAGACTCTCCAACATTCGCTGCCGTAAAGGAGGACAAATGCCATGTAGCAACTCAGTACCCTTTTCTTTGTTACCAACGAAATCCTCCTGTTTCGTAATACACTGCCTAACTTTTGGGGTGCGTCCTTGACTATCTCAATACGTCTTCGGATCTCAGCGTCGCAATTACCGTCCTCCGTCAAAACATTTCCCAAATTTTTTAATCTCTGCCCATGCTTGCTTTTAGTGTCCCCAACCTGTAAATGTATTTCGGACTTATCCTTTTACTGCAATTAGAACTCGGATTAACATTTCCAAGCCATTATCCATTACACCACCCGCACATCCAAGTTGACAACACCTGGTATCCCGAAGCGGTCACCCATCCTTGTTCGAAGTTTCTTAACTTCGGCGATCGTAAGCCTGTATTACTCTAAATCTTGAACCGGAGGGGAGCCATACGGTCTTGGGAGCGCACGTCCAACCCGGTACCATCGCCGAAGCCTTGAGGTGTCACTCAAGTCTCACCAATCCCTGTGATCAAAAAAGTTGGATTGTTACTCTAATGCAGACGTTGCTCGTCAAAGGAATGAATTTTCATCACTGTCGCGCGATATAAACAAATGTCTACCATTAGGACTTGACGGAATTTCAAAGGTCCATTACTTAAACTGGTGTGTATCTTAACTGGTGTTTTATACAAACTGTCCCGACGGAGTTTTTGAAATGTTGGAAGAGAATACCAAAATAGTGCTGGAAGAATATTTGAGAATGTCTGCCATCTACATTTTTTGAAAAACTGTTGGAAAAAATGCTAACAATTCTTAAAGCAGTAATTAAAACAGGTGGCGGTTTTATTGACGAAAACAAAATATGTTGCTGTTATATCACATGTTTTTTAAAGTTAAGTTAAAGTTTATCAAAATAAAAGCAAATACACCATAGTTACTTGAAAAAAATACAAACTGTTATATTCCGTGCTAATAGGAATATATACTTGTAAAACATGGTATTTCATCGTCAATTGATTTTTGGCTGAGACAGAACTAATGCTTTTAATTTAATTATATAATTTAATTTGAAGTTTTAGCTTCGGTTTCTGAAACATGGTAATTCCTCTGTAGCGAAGAACGCATATTTTAAATCAATTAATTTAATTTATATATATATATATATATATATATATATATATATATATGTGTGATAAAATTTATTAGGAGGATGTGAGATAATCATAATTAAGTAATTCATTGTATCTGGAAGAAGCTTCAACAAAATTCAGAAAACACACGGTGACCGTTTTGTCTTATATTTGGGACTCATCAGCAGTGCGCATCCACTTCCGAGAATTGAACCCGGTTCGTTACGATATGCCCCAAGCATCATAACAACTGTAACAATGGACCTCTTCACAAATTCCGTGGTGTAACTCATCGTTTTCCATTACCCATAGCACTGCGCCGCCTCGACCATGACTACTATCCCCAAGCCGTTCTATCTAGAGCTTTAGGAAGCCGGTTCAAGGCAAGGATATAAAGATATATATATATATATATATATATATATATATATATATATATATATATATATATATATATATATATATATATATGGAGTGATTATGACGTAAATTTGAAAGGGAATGGAAAGCGTTGAAATATTATCAAAATCCACGGATGACAGGTTCGTATTTTATAATCGTTATCTTTACGGGCAATTTTTGTGGGAAGACAACCAAGATGAATCTCTGTTAGTCAGGCGATCTCATTGGATGACATTTATCCAATTAACGAATCGGAGCTGCAAATTATATTCGGCTTAATGAGATTATTGTATTTTGATATTTGCAGAATTATTTGGAAATTCAAAAAGAAAATGAGAAAATATTTTGCCCACCCCACTCTCTCTCCCTCTCTCACTCTCTTTGTCTTTGAGTCTCTGATTCAGTCTCGCTCGTCAAGATTTTGGGATTGGTTTTCTCTTTCCTTTTCTACTGACATCAATACTGTCTTCGCCTTATCTATCTCTCTATCAGTCAGTCAGTAGATTAATTTCCATTTATCGCTCTGACACCGACTGTACCTATCGATCAATCCAGTCATATGTATATTGGTATGCATGTATGTATCGATCAGTCTATTTATCTATATCTCTTGCTTTCTATATTATGTTTATTTCTATCTACCTACGTATCTCTCCTTCTTTTTATCTATCTATCTATCTATCTATCTATCTATCTATCTATCTATCTATCTATCTATGTCTATTCATATTAAATCTTTCTGTCTGTCTCTCTATCTATCTATCTATCAATCAATCTATCTATCTATCTATCTATCTATCTATCTATCTCGGTCTATTCATAATGTATCTATGTATCTATCTATCTATCTATCTATCTCGATCTATTCATAATACATCTATCTATCTATCTATCTATCTATCTATCTCTGTCTATTCATAATACATCTGTCTGTCTGTCTATCTATCTATCTATCTCGGTCTATTCATAATACATCTATCTATCTATCTATCTCTGTCTATTCATAATCTATCTATCTATCTATCTATCTATCTATCTATCTATCTATCTATCTCGGCCTATTCAAAATGCAACTATCTATCTATGTATCTCAATCATTACATATCTATCTCACTTCTTTTTTAATTTACTGATTTAACTCTTCTATTTATCTATATCTCTTGCTTTCTATATATCTATGTTTATTTCTATCTACCTCCGTATCTCTCCTTCTATCTATCTATCTATCTATCTATCTATCTATCTATCTATCTATCTATCTCTGTCTATTCATAATAAATCTATCTATCTATCTATCTATCTATCTATCTATCTATCTATCTATCTATCTATCTCTGTCTATTCATAATAAATCTATCTGTCTGTCTATCTATCTATCTATCTCGGTCTATTCATAATGCATCTATCTATCTATCTCGATCTATTCATAATACAGCTATCTATCTATCTATCTATCTATCTATCTATCTATCTATCTATCTATCTATCTATCTATCTCTGTCTATTCATAATGCATTTGTCTGTCTGTCTATAGTTGTATTAGCGTTGGATGTAATTCAATTTGTGTTGCTACCAGTCAGTGCAAATATTTCTCAAGACATATTTTTGCCAGCTGTCAGTGTGACAAAAAAATTTCCTTTTTCCATGAAGATTAAATTCATAGATCAATTTCTATATCAGAAAAGACTGAGGACTTTATAGCTACTATCACCTCTAAACTGGATCCTCAAAAATTATGGGCACCTTATGGTATCCCTGCAAAAGCCCTTGTTCTTAAACTGGGACCTTTTTTCTTTAATCTATAATCACTATCTCGCTGCCTCTTGCTTTTATTCTTGTTTGTAATCCTTTCCTGCATTTTCAGTGTTTAACGATTTCACATCAACTGTCTGATCCTGTTATCGAACTGTTAGCCTTCTGCCTCATTTGGCAAAGTACTAAAGACTCTACTTAACTCTGAATTGGTTAAGCATCTAACCTCGACTTTATTTAGATAAGCAATATGACTTTCGCTTCTCTGGGACAACTGCTGATGAGTTTAAGATGATTGCAGAAAGAGTCAATCAATCTTTCTACAAGTATTGGGCAGGACGGCCTGTTGCTTTGGATATCTCGAAGGCATTTGACAGGGTTTGGCATACGGGTCTATCTTCACAAGTTGAAAGGTTATGGTATTTATGGGCGAATTTGAACTGATTCTGTGTTTCTTATTCTAAGTTGTTTTGAATGGCCACTCTTCTAGATCTTTATGTATTGACGGAAAAGAGAGAGAAAATAGAGAAAAAGAGTCGGTGAAAGAGAGAGTGAAAATCTAATAGAAAGAAAGAGTGTAGAAAAAACAATGAATCAGATAAGGAGAGAGAAAACATAAATAGTCTAAGAGAGAAATACAAGAAGAATCTGAGAGAGAGAGAGAGAAAGTAAAAGAGAAACGGTGACTGGGAAAGAGAAGGAAAATGTAAGAGTAGCCAGAGAGAAGGAAAGTTAATAGAGTGAGAGAGAAAGAGAGAGAGAGTAAAATAACAGGAAACGGAGAAGGAGAGAAATAAGAGAGAAATACAAGAAAAATCTGAGAGAGAAGGAGAGAGAGAGAGAGAGAGTAAAAGAGAAACGGTGACTGAGAAAGAGAGGGAAAATTAAAAAAGTGTAGCTGTAGAGAGAAAGAAAGTCTAATAGTGTGAGAGAGAGAAAGAGAGAGAGAGTGAAATAATAGTGAAACGGAGAAGGAGAGAGAAATAGACGAAGAGAGAAATACAAGAAAAATCTGAGAGAGAAGGAGAGAGAGAGAGTAAAAGAGAAACGGTAACTGGAAAAGAGAGGGAAAATGGAAAAAGTGTAGCCGTAGAGAGAAGGAAAGTCTAACAGAAAGAGAGAGAGAGAGAGTAAAATAACAGTGAAACGGAGAAGGAGAGAGAAATAGCCGAAGAGAGAAATACAAGAAAAATCTGAGAGAGAAGGAGAGAGAGAGAGTGAAAGAGAAACGGTGACTGGGAAAGAGAGGGAAAATGGAAAAAAAGTAGCTGTCGAGAGACGGAAAGTCTAACAGAGTGAGGGAGAGAGAGAGGGAGAGAGAGAGAGTAAAATAACAGTGAAACGAAGAAGGAGAGAGAAATAGGCAAAGTGAGAAATACAAGAAGAATCTGAGAGAGATAAAGAGAGAGAGATAAAGAGAGATAAAAAGAAAGAAAAAGAAAGGTTATGGTATTTTTGAGCGAATTTTTGAACTGATTCAATTTTTCTTATCAAATCACGAAATGAAAATTATCTGCAATGGCCACTTCTCTAAATCATTATCCATTAATGCAGGCGTCTTTGGACCCACGTTGAACCACATTTTCAACAACGACCTTCCTGATGGCATCAGTTCTAAATTAGGTATCTGTTATATACCGTACCTATAAAGACTAACGGGTATGTCCCAATCCTTAATGAATACGTTGGACACTATTTTAAGTGGGGGTAATATGCTGTCTATGTAGTCCATGACTAGCAGTGGTTTACCTACTTCACGCCGCTGGCGAGTATTGTATTTTGTTGATGTTATAAAGATTACCAGTTCATTTCCAATCTCCATTTTAGTTATTCCTCATTCAGTAAAATTTTCTAGATTACAACATGTACTAAACTTTGTTTTACACCCAGAACAGATAAAGATATTGACTCTAGGCAGAGTAAATCTAAAAAGGCGGGTGTTATATAACGTACCTATGAACACTAATGAATATGTCACAATCCTCATAAATACACTGGATTCTATTATAAATGGATGTAATATGCTGTCTAAGTAGACTACCACCAGCAGTGGTTTACCTTTCACACCGCTGAAGAGTATTGTATTTTTGATGTTATAAAGATTACCATTTCATTTCCAACCTCCATTTTGGATATCCCCATTCAGTAACTTTTCTAGGTTGAATATATATATATATATATATATATATATATATATATATATATATATATATATATATATAACACAAGTAAAAGGTTTGTGCTATATACCGTACCTATGAATACTAATGGGTATGTCCCAACTTTATAAATACGTTGGACACTATTGTAAGTGAGCAGTGGTTTACCTACTTCACACCGCTGGCGAGTATTCTAATTTGTTGATGTTATAAAGATTACCATTTCATTTCCAACCTCCATTTTGGATATCCCCATTCAGTAACTTTTTCTAGGTTACAGAATATATATATATATATATATATATATATAACACAAGTAAAAGGTTTGTGTAATATGTACCTATGAATACTAATGGGTATGTCCCAATCCTTATAAATATTATGTTGGACACTATTAAAGTGAGCAGTGGTTTACCTACTTCACACCACTGAAGAGTATTCTAATTTGTTGATGTTATAAAGATTACCATTTCATTTCCAACCTCCATTTTGGATATCCCCATTCAGTAACTTTTTCTAGGTTACAGAATATATATATATATATATATATATATATATATATATATATATATATATATATATATATATATATATATATATAACACAATAAAAATGCAATATAGCGTACCTATGAATACTAATGGGTATGTCCCAATCTTTATAAATACGTTGGACAATAGGGAGCAGTGGTTTACCTACTTCACACCGCTGGCGATATTCTAAATGATGTTATGTGCCATTTTCATTTCAACCTCCATTTTGGATATCCCCATTCAGTAACTTTTCTAGGTTACAGAATATATATATATATATATATATATATATATATATAACTTTCTAATAAAAGTTTGTGCAATATAGCGTACCTATGAATACTAATGGGTATGTCCCAATCCTTATAAATACGTTGGACACTATTGTAAGTGAGCAGTGGTTTACCTACTTCACACCGCTGGCGAGTATTCTAATTTGTTGATGTTATAAAGATTACCATTTCATTTCCAACCTCCATTTTGGATATCCCCATTCAGTAACTTTTCTAGGTTACAGAATATATATATATATATATATATATATATATATATATATATATATATACAAGTACAAAAAGGTTTTTGCAATTTACCGTACCTATGAATACTAATGTGTATGTACCAATCTATAAATACGTTGGACACTATTGTGAAAGTGAGCAGTGGTTTACTTCACACCTTTGGTATTCTAATTTGTTGACCATAAAAATTACCATTTCATTTCCAACCTCCATTTTGGATATCCCCATTCAGTAACTTTTTCTAGGTTACAGAATATATATATATATATATATATATATATATATATATATATATATAACACAAGTAAAAAATTTTGCAATATAATGCCTATGAATACTAATAGGTATGTCCCAATCCTTATAATACGTTGGACACTATTGTAAGTGAGCAGTGGTTTTACCTACACTTCCACACCGCTGGCGAGTATTCTAATTTGTTGATGTTATAAAAGATTACCATTTCATTTCCAACCTCCATTTGGATATCCCCATTCAGTAACTTTTCTAGGTTACAGAAATATATATATATATATATATATATATATATATATAACACAAGTAAAAGGTTTGTGCTATATACCGTACCTATGAATACTAATGGGTATGTCCCAATCCTTATAAATACGTTGGACACTATTGTAAGTGAGCAGTGGTTTACCTACTTCACACCGCTGGCGAGTATTCTAATTTGTTGATGTTATAAAGATTACCATTTCATTTCCAACCTCTGTTTTGGTTATTCCTTATTCAGTCACCATGTCTAAGTTACAACAGTGTCTATGCTGAGGACTCTATCATTCATACCTGTATTGTAAGTTTGTCTGGTCCGATAAGGTAAAATTATCAATTAATCTGATAAAAAAATATCTATAATCTGTTGTTAGCTGGGGAAAGGAATGACTGATTTATTCTAACGTCTCCAAAAAGAAACTGCTGTCTTTTAATCGCCTGAGGGTACTCTTTTTTTCTTCCATCAGCATGGCTGATGCTAACCCCCAGGAGAATGACTAAATGAACCTTCTCGAAATAACGTTTTCCGCTGACATGAAATGGAAATATTATATCGAATCAATGGGTAAGTCTGCTACTAGGAAATAACTTTTCATATGATAAAACATTGCTTATCAAATAACGAAATGGAAGTTATCTTGAACGGCCATTCTTCTAAGTCTATGTGCATTAATGTAGATATCTCCCAGAGCTCTATCATTGGGCTCACAACCTTGTGCAAATTAACTGAAACAGCTGTTTTAGTTTCCTTTCTTTCACCATTGGCTAGTAAGAACTAAAGAGAAAAGGAACTGTTAACATAGACTTTACAGTTATATTTATCCATTTATTCATCCATATTTTTTCCTCAAATAAGAAAAATATACTATCAAGGAGAGAAGACCATAAAAGAATTTCAAAGAGTAAAGAGAGCGATTATATACACCCTGGTGCAAATTAATTGAAACAACCGCTTTAGTTTCTTTTCTTTCACCAAACGGTCAGTTTTAGACTCACTGAAGTGACAGGATGTAATCAATTTCTATTATTGCCCCACTTTAGGTCATTTTCACTGGTGTTTAGTAATATGAATCTGTGAATTTCGGGGTGTATGATAAAATTTGTTTGGACTTGAAAAATATTACGTCATCCGATTTTTATCAAGTCCAGGCACTATTGTCTGGACTGTCGATTAGTTGTCCTACGGACAATGCTGCGATGGACGTTACTCCGAGGAAGAGTACGAAAATTGTAACTCGTCCGGAAACTCTCCTGATTTAAATTCAATCAAGAATTTGTGGTCAATCTCTAAGGAACGACTTCGTGGAATAGACATACGAAGTACTAACATGTGCACTGGGTCATGTTTCATTGGAAAATATGAGAAATAAGTAAATAATAACGAAATTCAATTAATTTGCACAAGGGTGTAGATAGATAGATAGATAGATAGATAGATAGATAGATAGATAGATAGATAGATAGAATAAAGGCATAGATAGATAGATAGATAGATAGATAGATAGATAGATAGATAGATAGATAGATAGATATGAACAGGCTGAGATAGATAGACTGGCCCGAAAACTCTCCTGATTTAAATCCATTCAAGAATCTGTAGTCAATCTCCAAGGAACGACTTTGTGGAATAGACATACGAAGTACTAACATGTGCACTGGTCATGTTTCATTGTAAAAATACGAAAAAAAAGTAAATAATAACGCAATTATTCATCTTGTTTCAATTAATTTGACAAGAACGCATCTATCTAGCTATCTAGCTATCTCCGTATTTTTATTGTTATGGACGTTACTATAAGCGTACAAAAAGTTGTAACGCTGCACAAACACATTGACAAGCCTTACCAGTGAACAAATCAAAGTACTAGATTGTTCCAGAAACTCTCTTGATTTAAATCCAATCAAGAATCTGTGGTCAATCTGCAAGGAATCACTTCGTGGAATGGACATATGAAGTACTAACATGTGCACTGTGTCATGTTTCATTGGAAAAATACGAAAAAAGTAAATAATAACGGAATTATTTCTTTTGCTTCAATTAATTTGCACAAGGGTGTAGATAGATAGATATATAGATTGATCGATAGATATGAACAGATCAAGATAGATAGATAGATAGATAGATAGATAATGAATAGTCTGAGATATATAGACTGACCAGGAAACTCTCCTGATTTAAATTCAATCAAGAATATGTGGTCAATCTGCAAGGAACGACTTCGTGGAATGGACATATGAAGTACTAAAATGTCAACTGGCTCATGTTTCATTGGAAAAAGACGAAAAAAATAACGGAATTATTCGTTATGAATATAAATATTAATAATTTTCACAAGGGTGAAGATAGATAGATAGATAGATAGATAGATAGATAGATAGATACATATGAACAGGCTGAGAGAGATATACTGGCCAGGAAATCCATTTGAGAATTTCTGGTCAATCTGTAAGGAACGACTTCATGGAATGGACATACGAAGTACTAACATGTCCACTGGGTCATGTTTCGTTGGAAAAATACGATAAAAAATGGAAATAACGCAAACGTCCTGCTTCAATTAATTTGCACCAGGGTGTACATTCCTTAAAATTTTCATCAAAGATCTTTTGGCTGCCATCTTTTCTTATCTTGTTATCTGTTTATTTACTCCTATTTTAATGGCCAATCGGAAAGTCAAATTGGCAGCTGATCTAAAAGGTTTCCACCACCGTAACGCTTTTTCTATAAATACTTTCTTGGTAAGTGATCTGATGAACTTTACTCAATGTTACGTAGAGTTTATGACTTTAAGCGCAGTAAGAGATTGGCGCCCATTTGATATAGTTACATGCAACCGTAATTTTTTTCTCGCACTTTTCGCATGTGGAACGTTCTTCCTGCTTCTTGCTTCCTTGTCAACTTTGGTCTTCATGTTATGGGATCGCACCCATAATAATAATAATGGTCTATTCGATACTTAATAAATACTGCGCCTCAGGAGTAGGCAAGGAGTCAGTCGCTCAACTCTTGAACAACAGATCGGTTGAACTCTCTGCCTTCGGGCGAGGAGAGGAACCGGAACGAGGCTACGCCGAAGGGTGGAGTCTCGTTCGGGAGGTAAACTCAACCCTGAACCCGTTTGTACGGGTTCAATGGGCATACCCACAGGCCGAGCCCACGGGCTCGGACAACCCACGATAAATAACCGACCTTGTGTCACATGATGCCCTCGTGGGTGGGGGGTGACTAAATATCGTCAGCAGTTCAAGTCTTGACCGGCTGATCGGTTGAACTCTCTGCCTTCGGGAGGGGAGGAGCCCGAACGAGGCTACGCCGAACGGCGGAGTCTCCTTCGGGGAGGGAAATCGACCCTGAACCCGTTTATACGGGTTCAATGGGCATATTTTTGGCCGAGCCCACAGTTAAAATTAAACCGGCCTTGTGCCACATGACGTTGGGGTGGGGGTGACTGAATATCGTCAGTAGTTCGAGTCGAGTCAGTAGTTCAAGTCGAGTCAAGAGTCGAGTCAGAGGACGTTCGAAACAGAGTCGCGTTCAGACAATTACTGCAAGACATTGGAATAGTGATACTGGTCGAGACTACATTGTTCTCTCTACAAAACCTGATTGTTCATACTAACACTTTCTACTTCTCTGTATATATTCCTGTTTGTAATATATCTGTGTTATTCCATATCCGTGTTCGAGTTCTTCTTTATTGGTTCTACCTTGGACTATCACCATGGTACAAGGAATCGGACCTAACACTTCATAAATTGAATTCCAATATCAATTGTTATCTTCTGTTGTCTTATTTCTTGTTCTTTATTTTCTCTCCATCCAGTTTTTTTCATATACTCTACCAACCAATAACCTTTGTTTTGTTTGGGGATAAATCATTTTACAAAATACAATAAGGGGTGCCGTGTTAGAATCTAAATAACCACAGTTGTAATGGTCTGCAAGAATGAGTTGCTAAATATCACCTTATCGCAAAATGAATCGATAGTTGCTAAATTCGCATCTGACCACAAGTATAGAGTTTCCTATGAGGATCAGAGATAGGACTACAGTAACTGCCTGTGAGATTTTTTCTATAAATAATTTTTGGGATGTCAACGAACAATCGTTGCCATTTTTGTAATGTCAATGAATAATCGTTGTCACTTTAATAATGCTCGTTGTAGTAGAGACTTTGTAATCGCAGATACAACTATAGTAACAACGTTGAACAATACTAGTGTCAGACGCCTTCGAATAACACTTGTACTAGTAGTACTAAAGGTGGACATACAAAGTACTAAATTGGGCACTGGGTTATCTTTCATTAGAAAAATACGAAGAAAATTGAGTAGTAACGGAATTATTCGTTTTGATTCAATTAATTTGGACAAGTGAATATGAATATATATATATATATATATATATATATATATATATATATGTGTGTGTGTGTGTGTGTGTGTGTGTGTGTGTGTGTGTAACGAATGCACGGCTGCAATTTTGACGAATTTTGCACCAAAATTTACAGGCACATGCTCCAAGTTAGTGGGAAGGCCAAGACCGATGTTGCATTTCCCAACTCCCATCGTTAGTGGAAATAATCGATTTTTTCATGCTTCTACGGCAGTTTTCATGTAGTTTGCGGCCATTTTCTACTGGTCAGAGTGAGAGCCTATAGCTGGCTGCTACGAATAGTCATGAAGATTCTATTGACCACCGTGAGAGCCAACAGCTGACTGACACGAAGCTTAACTAGCATGCTAGCATGCAAAAAAATCGATAGCTGCATTCGTCACAAGTGGGAAAAATTTAAATCTGCATGGCACTTTACTCCAATTGGCTTATTCGCTTGCTTAAACTCAACGTTGATTCTGATTCCGCAGAACTGGGTTGGGTGTGAAAAAGTATTCTTTTTTCATTCGGTTTTTCCAGTTGCGAGTCCTTTTTTAAAGCTGATCGTTTTGCGTTCATTTTTTTTAGTTCTTTTTTCGTAACAGATTTAATGTTTAGTATAGAGCCTAGAAAAAATTTGCAGTTTGAGATAGGCAAGAAGTAAGGCATGTAGCAACATCAGCATTATATATATATATATATAATGTCACGGGCTGTTTTGCTGTATCACAGCTCTTCAGTGTGGCAAGACGTCTGGTGACCTCTAGATACGTTCGAAATCAGACTGAAATGGCGTCACTCGCAGATTCGACCACTAAGCCGTCGGCGAAAGGCAGGGATGAAGGTGAATTTAAGAGAATCTATTTTTTAGATAAACACACAGTGACTGAGAGGACTCGATTCGCTTTACCGAAGAGTCTTGCTATATCAGCCGTAATAGTCACTATTTACAAACCCACACTTCCTCCCACAGAGATCTCAACCGAAATTAATTTTTCAGGAGCCTATATAATGTCATATATATATAAATATATATATATATAATAAAATATAATAAAAAAAGGCCCATACACTAATATTCCATGGTTATAATTTATTACATTGCAATCTCAATTACGATCCAATTCATCGACGTACAAATTCAAAAAGAAATCAGAAAATATAACTCCGGGTATAAAAAATAAAATTTTAGTGAATGTGTATATGTGGGAGTGGGAAACAAGAGTGAGAGTGAAATGTATGAAAGCTCTAGAGAGAGGGTGTAACATAAGAAAGTAGAAGAGGAAGGCCTAAAGGTGAAGGTGGGGATTAAAATTTAACAGGGAGAAGTTTTAAAGAGAGGAGTTAAAGAACGGTTTAAATGAGTGAGATACAGATAAATATGAATTATTTTCAGATGCATAATTCACTACCGATTCGCTGACCTAAAATTAAAATTAAAAAACAGACACCGGAAACGTGTGGATACATTTGTGGTGACATTAGCGCAATAAAAAAACGATATGAGCTAAACTAAAACTCCAGAAGATGAGAGAGAGAGAGGGGGGGAAAAATATTATTTTTTAAAAATATTTTCATGGTAATTGGTTTAATGACCTTTATTTGATAATACGTAGAGCTGATATCTTTTTTATGTAATAGATTGGCGGACATTTGATATGGTTAGATGAAAAAGTAATTTCTTTTCTCGCATTTCTCGCTTGTGGAACTCTCTTCCGGGTTATTGCTTCCCTGTCAGCTATTGTCTTCAGAAGCTGAAATCAAATGCCAATTGTTATCTTCAGTCGTCTTATTTCTTGTTCTTTGTTTTCTTCTCTCAATATTAAATTTTTCTCATACACTTTACCAACTAGTAACCCATTGGCTAGTTTGGGGATAAATCATTTTACAAAATACAATAGCGTGTGCCTGTATTATAATCAAAATGACCACTGATGTAATCGTTTGCAAGAACATAGTCAAGTCCTGAAGAAGACCGTAGAATATAGTGGCCGAATCTATATGAATATAGCAACGAAGATGAAGACAACAGTCCGAAAAATGTAAATAGTGTAAATACTTAACAATACATCATCACAGAAATATAATCAGATCCTGAAGAGGGAAAGGGGTACAGGGGTCGAAACGTCGTGAATATGCAAAACAAGACGAGAACAACAGTCCGAATAATGTAAAGTTTTTTTTTTTTCTCGCACTTCTCACTTGTGAAATTCTCTTCTGGCTTAACTCTCCCCTGTCTAAAGAAAATTTAAATCCAATGACAATTGCTATCTTCGTGTTTCTTTTTTTTTTAATTTCTACTCTCATTAATGTTCTATTTTTCTCAAATATTCTAACACTCAGCAATCCATTGTGTCTTAGTGGCTTTATAGCCTTTTTTGGAAAGAAATGATTTTAAAAAATACAAAAAAAGTTGCAGTATTGGAATTGAAATAGTCACTGTTGTAATGGCCTGCAAGAATGTCTTGCTAATTATCGCTATATAGGAAAAAGAATCTATAGTTACTAAATGCACACCTAAACACAACTGTAGAGTTCTCTATGAGGATCGAATACAGGAATGCAGGAACTGCTTGTGAGATATGCTGGCCAAATATCGCTAAAAGAAACAAGGGACATAATGAAGAAAGATGGACTGGTGAATGAGACACTTTCGACTCAACTTTGATCTTCAAAAATTTAAATGCAATGTTAATGGTTATCTACTGTCCTTTTGATTACACTTCTATTGCTCTTGCACCTTAATAATAATTAACTTTTTTCTTATTCTTTCACACTCAGTAGCCCCTTGTGTTTTTATGGCTTTACTGTCAATCGTTATCTACTGTCCTCTTGATTTTACTCTTCTATTGTTCTCTCTCCTTTAATAATATTTCACTTTTTTTCTTATTCTTTCACACTCAGCCCCCTTGTGTCTTTATGGCTTTTACTGTCAATCGTTATCTACTGTCTTCTTGATTACTCTTCTATTGTTCTCGTTCCTAATAATATTTCTGTTTTTTCTTATTCTTTCACACTCAGTAGCCCCTTGTGTTTTTATATTTTTACTG